TAAATACATACATACTTAAAGAGTAAATGAATAAATAGCACAACCCCTTTATCAAAACAGACATCATAATACATTATAAACCAAAGACCACTGACCTCATTAAAAACAGCCCGAAGCTAACCGAGAACCCTTTGCAGCTGTGAAAGTGTATATACCATGGGTTCACTAGTTAGGTCTTGTTACAGGCATGCTGGAGTTGACCAGTGATGTTCGTTATGGCCGTTAAGAAAGTTTGCGAGTTATGTTGATGCTAGTGTCTTTACTAGTGTTTCTGCTGGTTGTACCTGGATGGGGTTCTGGGAGTTCTTCTACTCCCCAAACCCATCCCGAGGCCAGGCTTACTTGAGAGAGCTTGGTCCAACAGGCTGTTGCTTGGAGCGGCCCGCAGGCCTATATATCCGTCACAGCGCAGGTTGCTTCATAAAAATCATTAGTAGAAACTAGATACATAAACATTATAAAAAACAATAACACAGCCAGACCTCTACTCTTTCTCCAGTAAACCAATCATATTTCTCATGTTTTCACAATTCATTTGAAATCGCTGGAGATCGTGAATCTGTAGGTCGCTCCAGCTGTGGTTCTGCCAAGTTTACCCGCATCCGGTTTCCTGAGTTTACCTCCCCATGTCCGGCTTGGGGTTTGACTCTTCAATGGATAACGTGTTCCGAAATGGTGTAGCTTGCTGCAGTGAGCAGTTGGAACTATAACACCCAATGTGGGGCTCATCACCACTTGGACTTTCTAATGGGTGGCATAGTAGGACCGGCATTAATTATTACAGTATCTATACTTGTATGATATTTTAACAATCATTCCTTGCTAGTTACAACATTATGTAGGCTGCTACCTATTAACCTCTGGCATGTGGTGCCAGAGTTTTAATGATGACGTCTTTACCAATTATAGTCTGTGATATAGAGCATTATGAGAGCGGTTAACGCAATCGTGCTTCAGGCCAGCTAGTGAGGCCGACATTGCCGTTGTGAGCCTTGTCTCCACACCTGTAATAATGAAGCATGAACACATCTGAGTTATCGTGATAGCTGTGTTATGGTGATAGTTGTACTATTGTGATGGTTGTTCTCTGGTGATAGTTGTACTCTGGTGATAGTTGTACTTTGGTGATAGTTGTACTTTGGTGATAGTTGTACTCTGGTGATAGTTGTACTCTGGTGATAGTTGTACTTTGGTGATAGTTGTACTACTGTGATAGTTGTACTCTGGTGATAGTTGTACTCTGGTGATAGTTGTACTTTGGTGATAGTTGTACTTTGGTGATAGTTGTACTACTGTGATAGTTGTACTCTGATGATAGTTGTACTTTGGTGATAGTTGTACTTTGGTGATAGTTGTACTTTGGTGATAGTTGTACTTTGGTGATAGTTGTACTTTGGTGATAGTTGTACTTTGGTGATAGTTGTACTCTGGTGATAGTTGTACTTTGGTGATAGTTGTACTACTGTGATAGTTGTACTCTGGTGATAGTTGTACTTTGGTGATAGTTGTACTACTGTGATAGTTGTACTCTGGTGATAGTTGTACTACTGTGATAGTTGTACTACTGTGATAGTTGTACTCTGGTGATAGTTGTACTCTGGTGATAGTTGTACTACTGTGATAGTTGTACTCTGGTGATAGTTGTACTTTGGTGATAGTTGTACTCTGGTGATAGTTGTACTACTGTGATAGTTGTACTCTGGTGATAGTTGTACTTTGGTGATAGTTGTACTACTGTGATAGTTGTACTCTGGTGATAGTTGTACTTTGGTGATAGTTGTACTACTGTGATAGTTGTACTGTGATAGTTGTACTCTGGTGATAGTTGTACTCTGGTGATAGTTGTACTACTGTGATAGTTGTACTACTGTGATAGTTGTACTCTGGTGATAGTTGTACTACTGTGATAGTTGTACTCTGGTGATAGTTGTTCTACTGTGATAGTTGTACTCTGGTGATAGTTGTACTCTGGTGATAGTTGTTCTACTGTGATAGTTGTACTCTGGTGATAGTTGTACTACTGTGATAGTTGTACAACTGTGACAGTTGTACTCTGGTGATTGTACTACTGTGATAGTTGTACTACTGTGATAGTTGTACTCTGGTGATAGTTGTACTACTGTGATAGTTGTACTCTGGTGATAGTTGTACTACTGTGATAGTTGTACTCTGGTGATAGTTGTACTACTGTGATAGTTGTACTACTGTGATAGTTGTACTACTGTGATAGTTGTACTCTGGTGATAGTTGTACTACTGTGATAGTTGTACTACTGTGATAGTTGTACTCTGGTGATAGTTGTACTACTGTGATAGTTGTACTAGTGATAGTTGTACTCTGGTGATAGTTGTACTCTGGTGATAGTTGTACTACTGTGATAGTTGTACTCTGGTGATAGTTGTTCTACTGTGATAGTTGTACTCTGGTGATAGTTGTACAACTGTGACAGTTGTACTCTGGTGATTGTACTACTGTGATAGTTGTACTCTGGTTCGTTGTTCTACTGTGACAGTTGAACTACTGTTTCTACTGAACTACAGAAACATAAATCTGCATCGTTAAATTAAGGTTACTGTGAGAAGCGTCGAGTGAGACTTTGTTAATGAGCAGCTGGACGGCTTCTGTAATGTTACGGTGAACACTGTGAGGTGACGGTGTGTAGTAGCGACGGTGTTAGTCCAGGAGTGTGCTGGAACACTTCCACACGCTCCCCGCCCCACAGTACACAGTCATATCAGTGACTCTCTCCAGAAAGATTTTATTAATTTATTCCATGTTTAATTTTAGTGGAAATATTAAATCAATTCAATGAGGTCTACAGAACAGTTTTTAAGGAAAATGAAACATCTATTAAAATTATATATTTACTTGTCATAAATAAACATATAAAGAAATTTTGTGAATAACTACAATTTAATTTTAATGATTAAATACAAATAAAGGCCATTTGTCTGATCCAGTCCCCAGGCACTCTGATCCAGTCCCAGGCACTCTGATCCAGTCCCAGGCACTCTGATCCAGTCCCAGGCACTCTGATCCAGTCCCAGGCACTCTGATCCAGTCTCAGGCACTGCAACTCAGTCATTGGCACTGAATCAGTTTCAGGCACTGCACATTTGTCCCAGGTACTTTAACTCAGTCTATGGGACTGTGACTCAGTTCCAGGCACTGTGACTCAGTTTCAGGCACTGTGACTCAGTCCCAGGCACTGTGACTCAGTCCCAGGCACTGTGACTCAGTCCCAGGCACTGTGACTCAGTCCCTGGCACTGTGACTTAGTCCCTGGTACTGTGACTCAGTCCCAGGCACTGTGACTCAGTCCCAGGCACTGTGACTCAGTTCCTGGCACTGTGACTCAGTCCCTGGCACTGTGACTCATTCCCAGACACTGTGACTCAGTCCCTGGCACTGTGACTCAGTCCCAGACACTGTGACTCAGTCGCAGGCACTGTGACTCAGTCCCAGACACTGTGACTCAGTCCCAGGCACTGTGACTCAGTCCCAGGCACTGTGACTCAGTTCCTGGCACTGTGACTCAGTCCCTGGCACTGTGACTCAGTCCCTGGCACTGTGACTCATTCCCAGACACTGTGACTCAGTTCCTGGCACTATGACTCAGTCCCAGACACTGTGACTCAGTCCCAGACACTGTGACTCAGTCCCTGGCACTGTGACTCAGTCCCAGACACTGTGACTCAGTCCCTGGCACTGTGACTCAGTCTCAGACACTGTGACTCAGTCCCTGGCACTGTGACTCAGTGCCAGACACTGTGACTCAGCCCCTGGCACTGTGACTCATTCCCAGGCACTGTGACTCAGTCCCAGGCACTGTGACTCAGTCCCAGACACTGTGATTCAGTCCCTGGCACTGTGACTCAGTCCCAGACACTGTGACTCAGTCCCTGGCACTGTGACTCAGTCCCAGGCACTGTGACTCAGTCCCAGGCACTGTGACTCAGTCCCAGACACTGTGATTCAGTCCCTGGCACTGTGACTCAGTCCCAGACACTGTGACTCAGTCCTTGGCACTGAGACTCAGTCCCAGACACTGTGACTCAGTCCCAGGCACTAAGGCGCAGTGCCAGACACTGTGATACATCCCCAGGCACTGTGTGTACACAACACCACCTCCTTTATCCTCCACCATCACCTTTATCTACAAGAGAGGGAGAAGCTTGCTGGGAATCTTACATAACTAAGTCAATTGCTACTTAAATCTTATTCACTCTGATGAACGTTTTGTTATGAAGATACGGGATACAAGGTGAGCAAATGTGCCTTGTGCAAGATAAAGGTGCGGGTGGGTCGAGGAGGGATGGACGCTCGGAAGGCTTGGTAAGTGAGGGCGCTAAACACCGCCAATATGGCCGCCAACCCCCATCACAGCGAGGCTTTGAGAAGTCCCGTAGTCTCTTGTTATAGGGCCGCCGCCACCACCACTCCTCACGACACCTCACCACCCCACTGCCTGCCCACCTGCTTCTGTCTAATGTCTGTGTTACTACTCCCGTCGCCGCAAGAGTTGTCAAAGTCTCCATACATATGGCTGGACCAAAAGAATATTCTTTCGCGTCACAGAAATATCTACAACCAACAGCTGAAGGTGAACGCTACATGAGTAGCGACTCCAACAAGTGACGAGAGGTGTGGGGAGCATGACCATTCACCAAGCGCACATCTCAACCCTTACAGCAAAGCGGCTCCAGCAGTTGCTAACTACACAATCATACATAAAGTGCCAATACCAAAATGTCGGAACGTGAAATATCGTGTTAGCATTAACTTGCCATAAAAATACATCTTGTCTGATTCTGTCAGACGTGTCTGCGTTAACGTGCCATAACAAAAACAATTTACTACGGTAGCTGGCAACTGCGAGAGCTAGCCTCAAGAAACAAAACTACAGGTATACTGGAAGTGCGTTTACAGTGTCAAGAGACAGGAGGGCCAGGCGTGGCGTCTTAAGGTGGAGTCAAGAGCTTCGGGGTAGGGAGGATGGGCGCGAGTTGTGGGTGTCGGCGCCGCAGGTGACGATTTAGGTCTCCCCGCTGCACGAAGAGCCTGGTGCAGGCGGGGCACGTCAGCGCCGTGCCTCGGTGGATCTTCAAGTGGCGCCGCAAGGAGTCGCGACAATGGAATGTCTTACCGCACTCCCCACACTTCTGACAGCCAGGGCCACGCTGAAGCCTCCTACCCCCCACGGCTGCTACTGCTACTGCTGCAGGAGAAGAGTTGGTCAGTGTGGGAGCCAGCAAGCCAGAGTCAATGGGAGGGGGAGTGTGCAGCAGCAGCAGTAGTTGCAGCAGCAGCAGCAGTAGTAGTAGTAGTAGGTTAGTGTGGAACAGACCAGCGTGCGTTAGTGCATCAGCATCAGCCAGCGGTACTGTCAAGTAACACTTCTGATGCTCCAAGCGGCCAATGGAAAATTTAGGGGTCAAAACATTCAAAATCCATACAAGTTTCCGGTATGAGTATACAACGGGGCTCAGCTTTAAGGGGGTCGGTGGGGCAGCAATTGGCCGCATGACACACACAGAAGATACCAGACGTAGGACACATTAATCATTATATTAGTGCACTGAAAACATCTACATTTAAATATTAGGGAAGGAGCATCAGAAGAGAAAAATATAAATTAATGGAATAAGTTGTAAAGGAGAGCATAAGGAAGGCCGGGCGGTAACGTAACATGAAGCCCCACATTGACAACAACTTCACAACATTCTCCTCACAATATATGTACACCTAAATGAAATATTATATATATATATATATATATATATATATATATATATATATATATATATATATATATATACCAAGGAAAGAAAAAACCCAAGCACTTTCGTGTATGAACACATTTCATGTACACAGTAGTACACTCTGTGTACACTGTGTACTTTTGACATTTGCTAATACATGAAAGCGTTTCTATATAACTGAATCATGCTAAACTACCGCCCCTGATCAAACCCCATTTGTTATGAGAAGAAAAGTACAAATGGAAGATATTTGGAGAGTTGACAATAAGCCTTAGACTGTGACATCAGATATACTCATGTACTCACAGGAGTGACTCATGTACTCACAGGAGTGACTCATGTACTCACAGTAGTGACTCATGTACTCACAGGAGTGACTCATGTACACACAGTAGTGACTCATGTAAACACAGTAGAGACTCATGTATACACAGGAGTGACTCATGTACACACAGGAGTGACTCATGTACACATAGTAGTGGCTCATGTACACACGGTAGAGACTCATGTATACACGGGAGTGACTCATGTACACACAGGAGTGACTCATGTACACACAGGAGTGACTCATGTACACACAGTAGTGACTCATGTACACACAGGAGTGACTCATGTACACACAGGAGTGACTCATGTACACACAGTAGTGACTCATGTACACACAGTAGTGACTCATGTACACACAGGAGTGACTCATGTACACACAGGAGTGACTCATGTACACACAGGAGTGACTCATGTACACACAGTAGTGACTCATGTACACACAGTAGTGACTCATGTACACACACAGTAGTGACTCATGTCCACACCTGGCCTGTCTATTGTACACACCTGCAAGAACCCGTTGAGCTCCTCCAGAAAGACTTCATCCATTAAACGCATCTTATATTTACTACTATGGCTCAGCCTCAGGCCAAGGTGTTGGTGTAGGTGGTGGTGTAAGTGACGGGGCAGGTGGTTGTGTAGGTGATGGGGCAGGTGGTTGTGTAGGTGGTAGGGCAGGTGGTTGTGTAGGTGATGGGGCAGGTGGTTGTGTAGGTGGTGGGGCAGGTGGTTGTGTAGGTGGTGGGGCAGGTGGTTGTGTAGGTGGTGGGGCAGGTGGTTGTGTAGGTGATGGGGCAGGTGGTTGTGTAGGTGGTGGGGCAGGTGGTTGTGTAGGTGGTGGGGCAGGTGGTTGTGTAGGTGGTGGGGCAGGTGGTTGTGTAGGTGGTGGGGCAGGTGGTTGTGTAGGTGGTGGGGCAGGTGGTTGTGTAGGTGGTGGGGCAGGTGGTTGTGTAGGTGGTGGGGCAGGTAGTTGTGTAGGTGGTGGGGCAGTGTAGGTGGTGGGGAAGGTGGTTGTGTAGGTGGTGGGGCAGGTGGTTGTGTAGGTGTTGGGGCAGGTGGTTGTGTAGGTGGTGGGGCAGGTGGTTGTGTTGGTGGTGGGGCAGGTGGTTGTGTAGGTGGTGGGGCAGTGTAGATGGAGGGGCAGGTGGTTGTGTAGGTGGTGGGGCAGGTGGTTGTGTAAGTGGTGGGGCAGGTGGTTGTGTAAGTGGTGGGGCAGGTGGTTGTGTAGGTGGTGGGGCAGGTGGTTGTGTAGGTGGTGGGGCAGTGTAGATGGAGGGGCAGGTGGTTGTGTAGGTGGTGGTGTCGGTGGTGGGACAGGTGCTGGTGTAGGTGGTGGGGCAGGTGGTGGTGTAGGTGGTGGGACAGGTGGTGGTGTAGGTGGATGAGCACATATTATGACAAGGGTCGATGGAGGAATTAGAGAAATATAAACTCTCCAACCTGACAGCTCGTGACACAGAAGCATACGCTGCTCTCGATCATTCTTCATATCATTAACTATACAGACAAATGCTTAAGTAAATATGTAATTTATATTTATGTAACCCCTAAAAAACATAACAAAAAACGGCTGAATAAGAAATAATATGTAAAGAAAATGTGGTATTTGTTATAACTCGAGGGAGGACTTAGGTTGAGCGGCCATAGAGGTCTACCTTCTACATCTTAATAGTGTTACTAAATTACTGGATGTTCTACGATCTAGCAGCCTCCACCATCTACGTGGTGGTGGTGTTGTTGTTGGGGCTGGTGGTGGTGTTGTTGGGGCTGGTGGTGTGGTGGTGGTGGTGTTGGGGCTGGTGGTGTGGTGGTGGTGTTTGGGCTGGTGGTGTGGTGGTGGTGTTGGGGCTAGTGGTGTGGTGGTGGTGTTGGGGCTGGTGGTGTGGTGGTGGTGTTGGGGCTAGTGGTGTGGTGGTGGTGTTGGGGCTGGTGGTGTGGTGGTGGTGTTGGGGCTGGTGGTGTGGTGGTGGTGTTGGGGTTGTGGGGGGATAAGTGCATGTCTAGTGTGGGGGATGATTATATCAAAGTGCCTGGTGTAGGGATGGGTGTGGGCAGGAGGGGTGAGTGGTGGCGGGTCAGAGTGTCTGGTGTAGGGGTGAGTGGTGGCGGGTCAGAGTACCTGATGAAGGAGTGGGTGTACAAAAGTCAGAGGGCATGGTGTGGTAGTGGGTGTGACAGGTCAGAACGCCTAATGTGTGGGTTGGTATGGTAATGTCAGAGGGCCTGGTGTGGGAGGTAGGTGTGGTCATGTCAGTGAGCCTGGTGAGGGGGTTGTGGTGACAGGTGAGAGGGCCGGGTGAGGGGTGGACGTGACAGGTGAGAGGGCCGGGTGAGGGGGTTGTGGTGACAGGTGAGAGGGCCGGGTGAGGGGTGGACGTGACAGGTGAGAGGGCCGGGAGAGGGGGTTGTGGTGACAGGTGAGAGGGCCGGGTGAGGGGTGGACGTGACAGGTGAGAGGGCCGGGTGAGGGGTGGACGTGACAGGTGAGAGGGCCGGGTGAGGGGTGGACGTGACAGGTGAGAGGGCCGGGTGTGGTGGCGGGTGAGGGCAGGTCAGAGGGCACCATGGGAGCCCCGCGGGGTGGGCTCGTACTGGCGACCATGGACAGCGTGGACATGGTACTTGACGTTAGACACTTGGTAGAAGACCTTAGGACAGACGGGGCAGGGGAAGGCGTTGCCTGTGTGGATCTTCTCGTGGCGCGAGAGTGTCACGCGCGTGCGGAAGCCCTTGCCACAGTGGGGGCAGGGGAACCAGGGGGTGTTGGGGGGGAGAGGGCGCCCCACACTCACCTCTCCCCCCATCACCACCTCCCCCTTCCTGGCGAAGGAGGAGGGAGCCAGACTCTCCAGGCGTGACAGTGGCGTCAGTAGTGAAGGGTTAAAGGGAGTCCAGTGTGCCTGCCGGTCACCTGCATCGCCTTCTGCTGGTGTTGGTAGTGGTGGTGTTAGTGGTGGTGGTGGTGACGGTGGTGAAGGTAATGGTATCTTCCCCTCGCTACCCACCTCACCCCCCGGCTCCCCCCACCACATCTCCAACACCTCCCCGCTCTCCTGCTTCACCCCGGCACCACCACCTGCGGGAACACACAACCGTCAGCACCGCCTCACCACCCACAGTACACCATCTGCCCCCCCCACTCCCTCACCCACCCTACGCCACCTGTCCCCCCACCCCAAACCATCTGCCCCACCTGACGACCTGAGAGGCCACAGTCCATAACTCCGTCCAATTACCGGCTGCGTATAAATGAACATATGAGATGTACTCGCATGAACCTAAGCCGAACAATGCATAAGTTCAGGATAAATTACAGACCAGAACCCCCCCCCCTCTTCCCCCAGAACAGAACACAAGCGTATATGTATATGTGGTTGGTTGATACCTGGTTGATGGAGTTCTACTCCCCAAGCCCGGCCCGAGGCCAGGCTTGACTAGTGAGAGTTTGTGAGACTTGTGAGATACATACACATGTGTATGTGTATATATATGTGTATAAGTGTATATGTGAATGCTAAACAGTATTCATCTATAGATAGCTATATCCTATATGTTAAAATACACGTGGAGAACCATACATACAATCTTTGCTCGCTGCAAAAGAGGGCAAACTTAGCTCAGCTGAAAAACACACATTGTGTCAGCAAGGCGGACAGTCTGCCCGCTATCATGCGTCACACTATATTTCCCACTTCTCAACTTATTCCTTCACGTACAACTTTTCATCCTGTTAATTCGCCACATGAAAGTGAGATCACACCCCATAACATCCCAAGAGTATGCTTTAAAACCTGTGCTAATGTGAATATTATGACTTATAGTGACGACAAACCATATATAAAACACAACATTTCATCTCTTAATTTGGTTAGGTTATGTTGGGTTGGTTTAGGTTAGATTAGAATAGATTACGATAGATTAGGTCCGTTTAACCTAACCTTCAGGACCGACTTATTGTGTTAATAAGTCTTGAAGTGGGACTTCAGGACCCACTTCAAGACTCCGTACCAATATAGAAGCATCAAGAGGAAGTATGGGCCAATAGGCCCTTTGCAATTACTTCCATTCTTATGCTCTCATATATCCAATTAATACCTATTGTTCCGTGTTCTGTCTTGTGTTTGTCAAAAGTTTGTTCACCTCATCCAAAACTGTTGCACCATATCACCTCACCCAAGTACGAGTATATAAGACGGATAAGCTGTTTAGTGTTTTCAGGTTACAGTTGTGTGTGTAAACTAAAGTTTTTGAAAATGTAATAAGTTATTACGAAACGCGTTCAAGCGTCGCGTCAGACTAGAAATAAAAATGAATTTTGGAGAATTGATTTTTCAATTACCATCGACAGTAAAAAGAAACAAGAAATATTGAGAAAATTCGTGTTAGAATTATTAATCTTACTTTTTCGGTCATATTTAACAACATATGTTTACAAGAAAGACTGCTACCAAAATATACTAATTATATATATATATTATATATATATATTATATATATATATATATATATATATATATATATATATATATATATATATATTATATATATAATATATATATAATTAGTATATTTTGGTAGCAGTCTTTTATATATATATATATATATATATATATATATATATATATATTATATATATATTATATATATATAATATATATATAATTAGTATATTTTGGTAGCAGTCTTTATTTATATATATATATATATATATATATATATATATATATATATATATATATATATATATATATATATATATATATATAAAATATGCAAAGTTCACCACTGGATCTGAGTGCAGAAGTAAAACTTCTTTATTCGCTGGAGAATTTTTCATCCAAGACGGCTTAATGAATTTGAGAAGCCCGGCAATGTCAAGGCTGGCGCATGAGCTTACAAGGACGAAAACCACAACACATAAGCGCTGTGTGAAATTAGTGTTTCATGTTAGACCAGCACAGGACACTGGCCCGTCTGACTCATCCCACCAAACATTTCGTATCCTTGCTTGTCTGAGACTCGACAAGCAGTTACGCATCTACTTACGTACATCTTTTCTCAATCTTGGGCGGCTTTGTTTACATTTACTAAACAGTTAATGAGCATCGAAACTTCCCAATCAGATGTTATTATTGTTCTAACCAGCCTCCTGGTACTTCAGTCATAAACTGTTTAATACAGTATATGTAAACAAAGCCGCCAAAAATTGAGAAACTGTGTACATGATCCTAAGTGCTTGTGTAACTCTTTGTTGAATCCTGGCCCAGGAACCCAGCCTTGGGGATGAACTGATTCAGTTCAAAGAGTATATGAAACAATGTAACTACACCTCATACTGAAATTTAATGCCAGTTTTGAACTGCGTATGCATAAGCCTGACTGAAACAGCCTCTCTTCAGTCTTTCCAAATATATATATTTCTCTACGAATGTATGTAGTCCTGATGGTAACCAACTGCAGTGGGGAGATTGTTTGCTGCTCTATAACGACTCAACAAGTACCTGAGGTCAAGATTGTAGCACTACCAGTTGAACTACTTTTCCTGTATGTACATTGAGCCAAAGCATTTGCGCAAACTTGACTGGAAGGAAATTATTCATGACTTTGCAACCCGAAAAATGTCGCAAATTTAAACTTCAAATTTTGCATCTCTCGTGATTATTTTTATCTCTGTTAGT